ATCGTATTTTTATTTGGTGCAATAGAGTTTAGTTAAGTTAGTACTATCGCAATACAATTATACTGTAAAATTCAATAAATTAGTGCAAAGCAAAGCCCCTTCTTTTTACTATATTAATATTTTGAATTAAATTTAGATAAAATTATTTAATAAATTCACAATTCTCGCTGAGCTTAAAAATCCTAAGCTAAGTTTGATCCAAAAATTTCAATTTAGCTTACTAACATAAGTTACTTAACATTAACAAAATATTTCAATTTTGTTATTTTTATATAAAAAATTAACCAAATTTAATATTAAATGTTAATGCAAAGACAAATAAGCAACCGGATTTCAACCTTAACATCGAAACAAGAAGTCTGAATCCCTCTGTTCAATGCCTACAGGGAAAGGAAGCAAAGTATGGGTTTCTTGTCGGGGATGAAGACAGAATGACGTTTGGTCCAAGTCTCCATGTTCCCCACAAAGCCCAAAAGACTCCTCAAAATTTTCTTCCTTATCAATTTTTCCCATATGACCTGTTCGGGAATCCAAATCCAAGTAAAGCTAAAGTATTACGCTTTCTTCTCCCCTACTTTTCCTTGCTTTGGTCAAGTTTATATACTTCAGGTGATAGTAATAGTAATTGTAACAGTAAGAATGTATACCTTTTTCCTATATAAGTAGTATTGACCATTCCATGTTTTCATATTATTTGTCAACTTGATTCCTGGAAAGTACAGAAAAACAAAATAAGAAAAACGAAAGCTTGATATTTCAGCTTCTGCTGAGAAGATCAAATAGATATTGAATCCTACAGCAACAAATCCTCAAAAATCCTCCGTTTTTTTAATCCGGGTATTCTCTATTTCTTTGGTTTTATGTAGCTATGGCTATTTCTTTTTTTGTCCTTTAGTTTTGTCCATTCGTTTGCCCCCTGTCTTGCTGGGATAACTTATGTTCTGTTTGGTTGGTGAGAAACTGGAAGGAAAAATGATAATTAAAGGAAATTCATTGTTAATTTGATTCATCTGCTTCTGCTTAGTATAAACTTCTCTCAATTCAGTTCAGCTAAGAGTTTTGAGCATCAGTTAAACAATCCTACTTTTTTTTACTCTTTCATATGTTTATATTGGATATAAGAACAGCTATTAAAGGAACCATATTTGGTCTTTTATTTTTCTGGGTTGTTTAGGTTATGGATATTTCTAACATACCCCGTGGAGGATCTGGATTGCTTGGATTTTTTTAAGTCGTTCTTTTAGGGATTTCTTTTTTGTTTTGATGATTTGATGTTAAGCTTGACATAGTTGTAAGCAATAATTTATTCTTGTAGTATGAGAGAGATTGTAGTTGTCCGGCCATGGATGATTGTCAGCTTTTGATTAACCCGCTCATTTTTCTGATATTCTGTTTGCCCGTTTGGAAGCTTATCAACCTTTTTCATATTAGTATATATTCGATGGCTTAATATACCGAATTCTTGTAACCTCATGTTTCCTTGGCTATACGTTATTGTTGAGATAGTATGAGTGAAGGCTACAGAAATGCAAGTGCAAGCTCCAGCTCAAGTTTGAATAGCAGTTTCCAAGATACAGAGGATGATCAAACCATAGCAAGCATCTTAGCCGAAGAGGAAAACTTGCACAAAGATGGCAGGCTTGCAAAAAGACTCTCCCATCTGGATTCTATTCCGGTATAATCATCTCTACCTCTTATTTTGGTTGGTCATTTTCTCGCAAAGAAAAATTTTACATTGTTTTACATGTAATTGTTTCTATGATATCCTTTTATGCCTGCCTTGTTGGTTTAAAAATGTAAGAAGTGCCTGTTCGACATGGGGTACACATAATAGTTTTGGAGTCTAAAAAGCATTGTATGTCCTTCTCTTTGGTTCCATGAGGACTATGTTATAATGAGTGAGATGCTACCCTTTTGGAAACTTTGAGAGTTATTATAATATGTGCCGATGATTGTTGAGAGATTGGATATGTTGCCAGAAGCATGGTCCTTTGGGAAAGCAATTGTTTTTCATATTTTTTCTTCTGAGATCCCAGCACTATCTCTTCTTCACTTGTTATCAATTCAATAACTTCATTTTAAAGTTTTCTTTTTCCATTATATAATGTATTCTTGGTTCATCATTTGTATGTATTATTATTACTTATTCACCGTGGAGTGAAGCAGAGTTTCTAATATTATAATATAGATCCTACAGAGCATTAAATTCTCTAACAACATGTTCTTCATCCATCGTTTTTTCCGTTGTAATTTTATGCCAACTCAGAGTACAAGTGTAGCATTACTCTGACGTTATGATCTTTTTGTAACTTTTCATATTAAATGTATATTTGTACCATAGAGCACACTTTGCATTTGTAGGCCTCATAGGAGTATTATCTAAGAAGGGTAATATTGTCCTTTTGTCTGTTCATGTCTCTTTCCGTAGATATAGGAGTTACCAAGAGTAAGTTAGTGCCCTAGTGTTTCCCTTTTATCTCTCTCTTGACCGTAGGAAACTACCTAATTCAATCCAACATAGTTTTCTCGAAACCATAATGCCTCTTTTTGCTCCTATGTTTTACGATTAATATAATGTTTCTTTTCACCTGCATTACTTACTAATTGACTAGCATGTGCTAGAAAAAGTTGCAGAGTTTCCTTATTTTCTCTTCTGCAAGCAGGATAGTCTTAGTTTTATTGATGTCTAAGCACTTACATGATCATTTTGTTGACAGCACACTCCTCGTGTCAATGGGGAAATACCTGATGTGAATGATGCTACCTTAGATCATGAACGACTGTCTGAAAGGTTGTGATCTTGTCATGCATACTATATCAATTTCTTGTCAATTGTTTTCTTTTAAGTTGTTCACTAGTTATAGTCTGCTCCAATATAGAATTTTTTTTTTAATAAAGTTTGGTTTAGACTTCAATTTAGTCTTTAATTCTGTGGTTACTTATGCTATGATGTTTTATTTATCTGTTGAAAACTTTGTGGTTTCTTTCCATTTTTCCACAAGGTCTCTTGAATTTCGTTCCTCTTAATTGGCATCACGTTAAAAAATTATTTTTCAGCTTGTGATGTTGATAATCTGGTTCAGAATATGGCTCCTAAAACATCATTCCCATCCTTATTGGGTCCTTAGAGCTCAAATATGGCATAAAGACAAACTCCCTGGCAGGATAGTTGAAGATTTGGCATTTGACATCCGGCCTTTCATACTCAACATCTCAGTTATGCATATAAATTGGTTTGTATTTATTTGGTTATGATAGTTTTGTTTTTCATTCAGGTTGGCCACTTATGGTTTAGCTGAATTGCAAATTGAGGGTGATGGAAATTGCCAGGTTTTAATTTTTGTACTTTAATTGTTTGTTCTCTACCATCACCTTTTATACCTGTATTTATCATGCATAATGTACCTATTTCTGTTTCCATATAGGGTTGCAGATATATGCAACAATGAGATTTCAATGAAAGTCACTGTGATTCTTGACATAATTCTGTTTTCTTTGTTTACATCTGCTGTTTTCTTGATAAAAATTCTGTCATGGTGTGCTTTTTTGTTAGTTTCGAGCATTAGCAGATCAGCTGTTCCGCAATCCAGACTACCACAAACATGTTAGGAGGCAGATTGTCAAGCAGGTAAGGTTTATGTTGCTCCACAAATGCAAACATTTCCTGTTACCTTATTTTCAGATATAATCCCATTGGATAAAAATTAGCTATAGCATTAAGTACAGGAGAATTCTTCAGTTTTTAGGCATTTTTTCCCTTGCTTTTGTTTGTGAGATTTATTATGTCTGTAAGTACAGTCAAACATGAACACACTAAAAGAAAAAAATATTAGTCCGACTTTGATATCTGCATTTTTTGGTAACATTGTCTCAGGAATAAAAGGTTTCTTGTACTAACTTGAATTATAATACACA